AAACTCACAAATGGGATCTAATTAAATTAAAGAGCTTCTGCACAGCAAAACAAAACAAAACAAACAAAAAACCCCAAAACTATTAACAGAGTGAAAAGCTAACCTACAGAATGGGAGAAATTTTTGCAAACTATGCATCTGACCAAAGTATAATATCCAGCATCTGTAAGGAACTTAAATTTACAAGACCAAAACAAACAATCTGATTTAAAGGGGGGCAAAGAACATGAATACTTTTCAACAGAAGACAGACAATATGGCCAACATGCATATGGAAAAAAGCTTAATATCACTGATTATTAGAGACATGAAGTCAAAACCACAATGGGATACCATCTCATACCAGTCAGAATGGCTATTACTAAAACGTCAAAAAATAACAGATGCTGGTAAGGTTGAAGAGAAAAGAAATGCTTACACACTGTTGGTGGTGGAAGTGTAAATTAGTTCAACCATTGGGGAAAACAGTATGGTGATTCCTGCACGACCTAAAAACAGAAACACCATTTGACCCACCAATGATAGAATGACAAATCATTCTATTATAAAGACACATACATGCATATGTTCATTGCAGCACTATTCACAATAGCAAAGACGGGGAATCAACCTAAATGCCCCTCAATGTTAAACTGGACAAAGAAAATGTGGTACATATACACCATGGAATACTATGCAGCCATAAAAAAAGAATGAGATCATGTCTTTTGCAGGAACATGGATGAAGCTGGAGGACATTATCCTTAGCAAATTAATGCATGAACAGAAAACTAAATATCATATGTTCTCACTTATAAATTGGAGCCAAATAATGAGAACACATGGACACAAGGAGGAGAACAACAGACACCGAGGCCTATCAGAGGGTGGAGGGTGGAAGGAGGAAGGGGATCTGGAAAAATAACTAATGGGGACTAGGCTTAATACTTGGGTGCCAAAGTAATCTGTGTAGCAAACCCCCATGACACAAGTTTATCTGTGTAGCTAACCTGCACATGTAACCCTGAATGTACTTAAAATAAAACTTAAAAAATAAAAATAATTAAAATAAATGATTCCTGGAGCTAAACACAGTATGCCAGATATGCCCTATCCCAATTAGAGCCAAGTATCTAATGAAGGAACCAGAGACACTTTCAATTTCCTTAGTAGTTCCATCAAATCAACTGACATGTATCCAACTCTCCTTCTTCAAATGTTTGCCTCATAAACAATATCTTCCCTATTGCACTGGCTTTGGTTTTCTGTACTTTTTCCACTTCCTTAAATAATTAAAATGTAAATGGAATTCATATAGATGTGACATCATTCCAAATTACAAGGAAGCATTTAAATTCTATTTCTATTAAAATTTTTTAAAGTACCATATAATACATATATAAATTAATAACTTTTATTTTATAAATAAAATTTGACATAATTTGTAACTATGTGGCCCGAGAATACCACGTGAAAATTTATCTGCAATATATTGTTCTGAAAAAGTATATTAACTCAGAATAATAAATGAAATACATTTTATATCATGATTCTTTTTCTAAATGGAGTACAATGACCCTCCATGCTGGCAAAAGGTCTAAAAGGATATGACTTGGCCTGAAAGTCACTAAGTAGGAAATAAAGTTTTATTGGAATTGGAACCTAATTTATTATGTTGGCAAATAATAGTCAATCTATTTTTAATTAAGTGGTGTGGCATATAGTCAAGGTAGGAGAATTAAATATTTAAAATTTTAAATGCAAAATTTTGTGTACGTAATTTTCAGAGAAAAATGTATTATTAAAGGAAATCCTACAATAATTACAGCAGAATTTGAAAGTGAGTAAGAATGACTAGTCTTGAGACAGAGAATAAAACTTTTGCAATAATGTTAGTAAAAGAAACATGTTAGTTACAGAAAGTTTCTTGAAATATATATACTGACTCAGATTTATCTGTTGGTATCCCAACAGTTATTTGATAACTTAAAAGTTTTTTCTATGAAGTAGTCCTAACAAATTACATTTCAAGTCTTTTTTAAGTTTAAAAGCATATAATTAAATTCCTTTCTGAGAAAAGGAATATAAGTAGGTGTTTGCACGGGCACAGATAAATTTTCATAAATTTATTTAAACTAATTTTTGACACTACTTCAAAACACAATTTCTGTTAAAAGAAACTTTTTAATGCTCTTCGTAGCATTAATGCAACACTTAGGTAAACATGTTTTAATTAGGTAAAGGTAGGGAAAAAATCTGAAAGTGTTTCTACAATATACAGTCTTTGAAACTAAAACGTACCTCTTTTTTTTAAAAAAAAGTATTTTCTTTTCTCTAAGTTCTCTCTTTTGAATGTGGTAAGCTACCAGGCACTAACGATATCTTGTATTTTATTGCACATTACCATTTATAACATACTTTTACATGCATTATCTCCTTTCATCTTTGTAACAGTCTAGAAGTTGGTATTATTCTCATTTTATGCCATGAAGAAACAGAGGAAAAAACTAATCTTTCACAGGGGGCTAACAATGACTCATTTTCTCCCTCAAGGAGACCCACTTAGCTGGGGTTTAGAACCTTGATATTTTGGCTCAGTACAGTGCCATAAAGTAGTAAAAGCGTTTGAGATCTAATGAGGTCATTACACTACCCAGGCAGCTTACCTCGGTTCTTCCCAAACTTGGATGTGGAAATAAATTTTGTAGCTCCAGAAATTTTCTAGTAGAATTTAATTTTAGTAAAAGAAAAAGAAAGTGAACATATTCTGTATTATTTATACATTAGCCTTGAACAAGCACTGTTGCATGATATCACTGCTATTGTTTCTGTTGCTAGTTATAACTGCAATGTCACCAATTAATCTTTGTTTCCAACGGCCCCCCCAAAACAAAGAAGTATAAATAATATATTACCACTAAATGAAGGCCAAGTGTCATTAAGGTACATTGTACAAATGGAGATTTTTATCGCAGTTCAAAGGCAGAGTAACAGAGGGAATACTGAGGCATCCCCTAGCACATAACGTGTAGGCAGGTAAAACACAGTAGAACTTGCATTGTCCAGGAAATACCATGTTTGCACTGTAAGCAGAAATATAATATCATGAAAACAACAGTAATTGTATTAAATCATTATTGTACATTGACTTTTACTAGTCTGTAAATTCTGTTTTTAATTTATAAATTTATTTTGATGTTATAACTAGATACTCACAAGCTTAAACAATTAACAGATTTATTTTCTATTTCTCTTCCTCTCTGTACATCCTTGAACAACACAGTTGAACGATGCAAGTCTACTCATACAAGGATGTTTTTCAATAAATATTTTGGAAAAGTTTTTGCACATTAGTGACAATTTGAAAAACCTTGCAAACTTGGTAGCCTAGAAACATTGAAAAAACTATAAAGTTAGTTATGTCATGAATGCATAAAATATGTGTTAATCTACTGTGTATGTTATAGGTAAGGCTTTTCTGGTCAACAATAGGCTATTACTAGTTAATTTTTGGGGAGCCAAAAGCTACAAGTAGATTTTTTCCATGTTGAGGATGTGTACCTCTAATTCTTAGGTTGTTCAAAAGTCAACTGTATGTATTTACATATAATATAATATTATTATTTTATACAATACATAATATTTGCAACAAAGATATAACAAATATATACATTTATTGTCTTTATATATGAAGAAAGAGAATAAATCCATTAATTGTTTAGGCTTCTCAGTATTCAGTTATAACATCAAATTAATGAAGAAGTTGATAACAGAATACTGGACTGTGAGTAGGAAAAATACTTTCAGTTAATAAAATTAATTAATTTCTATCAAATTCCCTTGAACAAAATATTTATTGCTTTCAGTTTCTCCATTTGCATAACAATATGATATATTATCTCAGAGACTACTTCTTTTTATTTTACATGTAGATTCTACAGGTATGTTTCGTATTTCACAGTCAAGTGCTCTGATACCAATTTATTCATTTATTGATGGAGGGACATATATAAAGTGCAAAAGAGAAGTTAAGACCTCGGACAAGTTTTGGCAGAGATGGGATGGCACCTTTGCCCAAATTCTGACTCTGAATTAATGATCAATTCAAGGACTATTATTTTCCTTCCTCAATAGCCACTGATGCCCTAAGGACTTACATCTGTGGAAGCATTGCCAGTTAGAAGTGTAGTATCATGGTATTTGAATGTTTCAAGATAAAGCAGAAGTATTTCACTCTAGGCTGTACAGAAAGGTCTCTTCTAAGCCTTGATGGCTTCCTCAGAGGAGAGTGGAGTAGGACAAATAGTAAGCAGTCAGAGCAACTTTACTATATTCGCTTTATACATTGAACTTACACTTGAGATCTCATTTGGTAAAAATATTCTGAAGCTTATTAACTTTTGTAAACTACTTCCTTAGGGGAATACATTTGTGGAGATACTTTGTACGAGGTAAAAAAAATCTTAGATTCCCTACTGGTGACTTCTTTATCTTAACATCTTTATTGCATATTTGATACATTTAAATGCCAGTAAACTTGGATCTTCTGATGAGCTAATGGATACAAAGTTTAGAAAAATTCAGTTTGCATCTATGCATTACATTGTGGGGTAAAAAGAACAAAGTTGCCTTCTTCTTTTGGTTTTTATATAACCCTTATTTAGATTTACTTTCCTGGGAATCAAACTGGAAATTCTTGAAGTTAAATAATATTCAGATTAATTAAAAATGAAGAGTAACATGATAGGCTCAGATAGAAAACAATCCATTGCCTTATTGACAACCATGTGAAAATTACCTGTAACACTGTCATTATTGACTATAGGGATGTCAATCCTGTAGTTAAGGATGTAGTCATGTAAGAATAGATTTTCAAATTTTCTCATTATATTTAATAAAAGGTCTCATTTATTCTTTGCTTTGTTTAGTGTAATAGGAATGGTTTAATAAGCATTAAGCCATCCATGAAAAACTTCTGTTACATTACTTTCATATAACCTTATGAAACACTGAGAATTAACTACTGACTTCATGAATCCTTTATTAAAGTATGAAGAAACAAAGAGGGCATACTTAGAATACATACATTAACATTACATATAAATACCTAAATCACAAAATATTTTTGCCAATTTTTTCTTCAGATGATGTCTCACTATGTTGCCCATACTGGTCTTGAACTCTCGAGCTCAAGCAATTTTTTCACCTCATCCTCACAAGTAGCTGGGACTACAGGCACATGCTACCAAGACCAGCTTATTTTCACTTATTTTTATGTATTTCGAGCAGCGATATATACAACTAGTCTGAAAAAGCAATGAAATAAACCAAATCTGAATTAGTAAAAACAGAGTTTTTCTAAAGAAAGATTAGTGCATTATACAACATCATTTGGTTCATTAAGTATTTATATCTAGGTAGTTATTTTTAAAATTTTTCTACAGGAAGTCCCTGAAATCAAATATAAATCAGCTGTTTATTGGTATTCAAAATTACTTGATGGGAACTTCAGATCTGGGTGAACTACAGGTGGCAGTGCCATTTATTATTATGAAGTAAACTTCTATTGGAATATAGTTATGACTCAGACAAAGTTCATCAGCATCAAGGTCATTTGCTACAGGTGTTGTAAATTTTCATATTGATTTTATTAGCCACGTGTATGAGAAGATTGCATTCCTATTCTAACTACACCTACTACTTACCCTTAAATTAGAATACAAAAATATAGCTGGATGGATATCTCCCTAGCATTCACTATAAATCAGTAATAAAATTAAATTTCAATAAAATCAGTTATTTAATCAGTTTTTTAGTAATACCCAAATTCGTAGATCAAATAAATTGTATTTAAAATATCGAAAATATTTATTGAGTACAAAAAATGTAGTGTTTTATTTTCATGTTATTGAAATCTGACATAGGTAAATAAACAACTCATATCCTTTTTTAAAATGAGATAATAATGGAATGAACCATCAGGTCAATTACATGTGGTCACTTTTGCCTCAGGCACAACCAGCTGGTAGAAATAACAAGGTTACTAAAAGACTTTCATGCTTAGCATAATTCATGGATCTTAAAGCAAAGAGGTTTCCCTCTAGTTCAAAGTGAGTCGTTGAGCTGTCTCACTGGTGCACTTGGAATACCAAATATGTTTTTATCATTTCTTTTTCCATTTAAACCATTGACCCCAAGATGTAACTCTTGGATTTGTCATGGATGTTAATGTTAGCTGCTGATCTGGCAGACAATTGATAATGTTGATGTTATTACAGGTTCTCCTTCATTTTATGCCTTCTAATCATTACCACCCTTGCATGAGTGTAATGTCCTCCCCGACCTGTTGTGCTCACCCACTTGTTGGGGCAACACAGAACAGGGATTAAGACCAAGAATATCAAACATACCTAGAATTAAACTTACTCCATCATTACTATTAAACCTCAGGCAAATTATATAACTTCTCCAAGTCTAAAACTTTGAGATGTAAACACAGCTCCACAAAATTGATAAAAATTAAATGCGATAATAACATCATGACCCATTCTTGCAAATAGTAAGTGCTACATATGAAATGGTGGTTATGATTGTTATCATTAAAGTCAAAATTATGTATTACCTTGAGTAGGGATGTTAATTTTCTTTTATTTTTCCAGTAACAGAGTTCTTAAGTTGCTCTTCATTATAGCTCCTCTCTCTGGGCTCCTTGGAAATAAATCCTAGAAAGGTTGGGCTAGAAAATAATGTGAAGCAGTTATGCCTCTGCTGTAACCTTGACCATTGTCTCAAAACTTTGATTCTTCCTCTATACTCACAAATATCAATGTCTTCCCTAGGAAGCACAAATAGTGCTTTGTGGGTAGCACATCAGCCTCAGAAGCTTTTAATTTCTTGTTTTCTGAGCTTCCTCAGGACTTCATGTAAAGAGTTCAATCCCAAGTTATCTTGACTTTGATGGACTCAATTTTGTTCCTTCAAAATTCAAAATTCAAAAGCCTAACTTCCAATGCGACTGTATTTAGAAATAGAGCCTATAAGGAGGTAATTAAGGTTAAATGAGGGTGAGGCCCTAATCCAATAGGGCTAGTGCCCTTATAAGAAGGGAAAGAAACCATAGCCCTGTTTCCCTGCTGCCTAAGGACACAGAGAAAAGGCATTCCTCTACTAGCCAGGAAGACATCCCTCGCCAGGAACCAAATCAGGCAGCACACTGCTCCTGGACTTTTCCATCTCTATAACTATGAGAAAGAAATATCTGTTGTTTGAGTCACCCCGTCTATGATATTTGTCATAGCAGCCAAAGCAGACAAAGGCACTGACCAAAGGCTTCACTGGATAGGCCTTACATTAGTTTTTATTTAGCTTGGTTTAAGTGACACGAGCACAACTATATATGATGGACTAGATAGGAAATTCGGGTCATATATGATATCTTCAACTTTATTAAATTGTTTTCTCATTCAACCAAAAACTATAGGTAATGTCAGGCTTATTCAAATTAAAAGGTTTCATACCTTCTGTTTCTCTCTCTAGCAGCTCCACACTCCTGACCATCCTGTAAACTATTAATCTAAAATATCATTTTCATTAATCACTACATTACCTCCAGTGAATCCTTAAGCACAGCATGGATTATAGCCAGATTCTTCATTCTAGCACTCAAGGTCTGCCCTTAAATGGCATTCCATAAATAACTAGGATTACGTATGATGTTTTTCTCTACACAGATCTTCAACAAAGTTGATGGCTCCATCTTTAAAATAATTATTTATCCTTATAGTGTTGCTGTGAGCATCAAATGGGATGAGTATTATTACAGAAAGTCATTAAGATGTTTGAGATATAAGTATTCAGTTAATAATTGATTCTAATTTTTCATACTGACCACTGCACATATATTATTTTTCCTACTGATGATGACAAATATTTCTTGACAATTTAACAGGTACTCAAATTTACTTTTGATTTTGATCCTGTCAAAAGGTAGGTAATAGATAATCTTCCCTTCCTGCTTTATACAGTGGGAAACTGAGCTAAAAAAAAGTTCTGTAATTTGCCCCAGGTCACAGGGAAGGAATAGCACAGCAAGAATTTGAGCTGAAGTAGTGTGGTTCTGGTGCCTACATGCTCCCTTCTTCTATGTCTACTTACTTTATGCATCTTGTCTCATCTTTATATAATATTCCTGAATATTCTGCCCTCTCTTTTTATAAAACCAAATTTTACATTTTCTTCAAAGGGAAGTAAAAACTATTCTCTTGCACCATATGTCAACACACGGGGATTTCTTGTTTTCTCATTGGCCTTATGTAATGACTGAACTTTAATGTCATGCACAATTTACATATATATCATATTCTTACAAGTATGTCATTAATGCTTTCTCAAATTAAATGTAAGCCTTGAGTGGTATGGTCTCTTTATGATTTTAAAGTTCCTGAAGGCCTCAACCATATATTAAAATAAAAAATTTCTGTTTATCAAAGGAATTTCTGTTTATCAAAGTATATAAAGGAAGCCACAGTGTTGGATAAAATACTTTCAAAACACAGAGTCGACAAAAGACTATGTCTGGAATATATAAGAACTATACAAACCATTGGGAAAAAGACAGAAACTTAATAGAAAATTGGATTAAAGACTTAAAATAGATAATTTAAAAAGAGGATATCTATTATATTGGTCAATAAACATATAAAAGGCTGATTAACTTCATTAGTCATGAAATGTCACATAAGCTACAATGCAATAGCATTATATACCTTTGGATTGGTCAAAATTTAAAAAGCTAACAAACAATATTGCTGAGACCATGAGGCAAATAGAAATATCAATCTCTGCTGGTAATTTTTTAGCTGTGTATGTAATGTACGTATATATGAATAACACCATCCAGCCAAAATAATGCATGCAAACAAAGCACAAAAATACATATATAAAGATATTTCTATCAACATTATTCTTGATAGCTCCAAATTAAAACCAACCTAAATGTCTGTTAATAATAAAATGAATAAATAATTTGTGGTATGTTTAAATCACATACAAGAATGAAAACAGTAATGAAAACATATAAGCTACAAGTGCATACAATAATCATAATAAACTTTACAAATATAATGTGCAGTAAAAGAAGCCAGGTTCAAAATAATATATGCTGTTTGATTACACATACAGAAACTACATTTTAAGACAAATTAAATCAATATATTGTGTTGACAGGGAATGTTGGGGTGATAGTGTGTGTTAGGAGTAGAGTGCATATTTTGGGGATGAGACATAATGAGGGTTTCCTGGGAGGTGGCAGTCTTTTCCTTCTTATCTTGTGTTTGGGTGTTTGCCCTGTGAGCTGTGCATTTATGTTCCATGACCTGTTTTTTATATATACTTATATATTACTTAAAATAACTCAAAACTAATATAAAAACATCTAGCTGATGAAATTTACAGCTCTAGAATGGTATATGATACAAAACGAATTTTATTGAGCTAAGTAAAGGAGGAAGCAAACTGAATATTTATGAGAAATACTGATAGTAGTACTGCCTCCAGAATTGGTGGGTTCTTGGTCTCACTGACTTCAGGAATGAAGCCATGGACTCTCGTGGGGAGTGTTACAGTTCTTAAAGATGGTGCGTCCAGAGTTTGTTCCTTCTGATGTTCGGATGTGTTCAGAGTTTCTTCCTTCCGGTGGTTTCGTGGTCTCACTGGCTTCAGGAGTGAAGCTGTGGACCTTCCATGGTGAGTGTTACAGCTCTTAAGGTGTCGCATCTGGAGTTGTTCATTCCTCCCGGTGGGTTCGCCATCTTGCTGGCCTCAGGAGTGAAGCTGAAGACCTTAGCAGAGTGTGTTACAGCTCATAAATGCAGTGCAGACCCAAAAAGTGAGTAGCATCAAGATTTATTGCAAACAGCGAAAGAACAAAGCTTCCACAGTGCAGAAGGGGACCCAAGCCGGCTGCCGCTGCTGGCCTCGGCAGCCTGCTTTTGTTCCCTTATCTGACTCCCCCACCCACATCCTGCTGATTGGTCCATTTTACAGAGAGCTGATTGGTCCGTTTTACAGAGAGCTGATTGGTCCATTTTGACAGGGTGCTGATTGATGCATTTACAATTCCTGAGCTAGACACGGAGTGCTGATTGGTGCATTTACAATCCTCTAGCTAGACACAAAAATTCTCCAAGTCCTCACTAGATTAGCCAGACACAGAGCACTGATTGGTGCGTTTACAAACCTTGAGCTAGACACAGAGTGCTGATTGGTGCATTTACAATCCGCCAGCTAGACATAAAAGTTCTCCAAGTCTCCACCTGACTCAGGATCCCAGCTGGCTTTGCCTAGTGGATCCCATACCAGGGCTGTGGGCGGAACTGCCTGCCAGTCCCGTGCTGCACGCCCACACTCCTCAGCCCTTGGGTGGTAGATGGGACCAGGTGCCCTGGAGCAAGTGGCAGTGCTCATTGAGGAGGCTCAGTCAGTGCAGGATCCCATGGCATAGGGGAGGCTGGAGCATGGCAGATTGCAGGTCCCAATCCCTGCCCTGAGGGGAGGCAGCCCAGGCCCAGTGAGAATTCCAGTGCAGCATTGGTGGGCTGGGACTTCTGGGGGACCCGGTGCACACCCCACAGCTGCTGACCTGTGGTGCTACACCCCTCACTGCCCAGGGCCCGCAGCACCAGCCGGCGGCTCCAAGTGCGGGGGTCCCCAGAGCCCATGACCACCTGGAACTCACGCTGGCCCGTGAGTGCCACATGCAGCCCTGGTTCCTGCCCCGCCTTTCCCTCCACACCTCCCGGCAAGCAGAGGGAGCTGACTCTGGCCTTGGCCAGCCCAGAGAGGGGCTCCCACAGTGTGGTGGTGGCCGGCTGAAGGGCTCCTCAAGCACAGCCAGAGTGGGCGCCAAGGCCAAGGAGGTGCTGAGAGTGAGGGCTGCTAGCACGTTGTCACCTCTCACTACTAAAACAGAGCAGTTTGAGGTCAAGAATGTAATAATTTAAGGACAATTTGGGACTTATATACCAAACTGTACTAACAAAGAGTTGGAAATTAGTTAATCATGAGGGAAAGTTGTAAAATATGCTACATGAAACGTTTCTCATCCTACATGTCATATGAGTATCTGGGTGAAGTTAGGTAACAAAGGCAACTCAATCGTTTAACTGATTATTGTAGCCTAGAGGATCCTTCTAGAAATATGAAGAGTATTGTAGCAGAGTTGTCAAACTTATTCATAATTAATTGTTAGGGAAGATTTAAAAAATACCACCACAGCAAAAAATATTATTTATATTTAAATAGGCAGAAACTGGGGGTAAAAATTTCCTAAGAGAAAAAAAAAGGATGAAGGGTAAGATAGACATTTTTAAAAATCACTATTACGAATAACAAAAAGTAACCTAAAACAAAGCATAAATGAATAAAAGACAGACTCCAGCAAATGCGTCTGCAAAGGCAGTGACTGCTGTGCATAAGGGTAGACAGCCTATACAACTGCAAAGATATCCATATAACATTAAAAATAAAACTAATTTAACTGTCTTCTGACAACAAGAGTTACATAAAACAGCATAACATAAAACAGTAAAGGTCAAAGATCTCTAACCTAGAAAAATAAAAACAAAGTTGATGTGGTTATACCCATTTTATACCAAAGTACATTCCAAAACATAACTAAAAGGAATATGGTAAATATTTTTAAATTAGTAAAGCAGACAATGATGAAACAATATGGAGGAAAGATGAAGTTTATCCACAGACCAATATATCATCAATAAATACATGGAGTAACAAATGTGAGAAACGAAATCAAGAACAATTTTTTTTTTTTTTTTTTTTTTTTTTTTTTTTTTTTTTTTTTGAGACAGGGTCTTGCTCTGTCACTCAGGCTGGAGAGCAGTGGTATGATCTCGGCCTCACTGCAACCTCTGCCCCGGGTTCAAGTGATTCTTCTGCTTCAGTCTCCTGAGTAGCGGGATTACAGGTCTATAGCACCATGCCAAGCTAATTTTTGTATTTTTAGTAGAGATGGTGTTTCACCATGTTGGTCAGGCTGGTCTCGAACTCCTGACCTCATGATCAGCCCACCTCGGCCTCCCAAAGTGCTGAGATTAGAGGTGTGAGTCACCACATCTGGCCTCAAGAGCAGATTTAAAGAAACAGGCTGGGCTTGGTGGCTCATGCCTGTAATCCTAGCACTTTGGGAGGCTGAGGCGGGTGGATTGAGTTCAGGAGTTTGAGACCACTGTGGGCAACACAGTGAAACTCCATCTTTAATAAAATACAAAAATTAAACAGACATGGTGGTGTGTGTTGGTAGTTCCAGCTATTTGGGGAGGCTG